GTCCGCTTTTGAGCTGAAACTAAATCTATTTAGTAGACAAATTGAAAATAAAAATTTTATACACTTTAATTGCTGTAAAAAAATACAAGAAAAGAATTTTTAAAATTTTTCAACAGTAAAATTTGTAGACTTGTTGGAAAAATTAAAAACGGATTTTCATACACGGTTTAAAAAACTTAAAGAACAAAGTATGTTGTTTCGATTGATTGAAAATCCTTTTCAGATGGATGAAGCTGTAGTTCAGGAAAATTTTCAAATGGAAATAATAGAACTGAAAACTAATACTTTACAGAAGGACTTGTACGAAGAAAATCGAAAGAATTTACCAAACTTTTACAAAAATCTTGACGACGAAAATTTTCCTGAATTAAAAAAACTGGCTCAACGTGTTTTTTCAATGTTTGGATCGACATATCTGTGTGAAAAAACATTTTCAAGGATGAAATGTATAAAAAGCAAAGAAAGATCTCGCCTTACAGATGATCATCTTCATTACTTACTAAGGGCTGCCACTACAAAATTTGAACCTGACATCAAGAAGTTGGCGCTACAAAAACAACCTCAAGTTTCACACTGATTTTAACTTTGTATTTGAATTTTTTTCTGACATATTTGAAATAAAGCATTTATCAAATTTTTCTACTGTTTTATTCAAATTCTAAACTAAACTATGGGCCGCATAGAACAGTGTCGCGGGCCGCACGTTGGTCATGCCTGCACTACACCGTCTAATCGGTATTAAGTGCTTTTAACCGGTTCAGGTATGCACTATAATATTTAGTGCCCCTGTCCTAAACATCGAAAAAACTATTGGGATTAATTTGTTTTTTATAAACAGAAGAGAAAAAACTACTGAATAAATTAACAATATTCTGTCCATTGTCAGCTGTTTGATCGTTAAAAGGCATAGTGTTAGGTAGGTAATCTGGTTGTTGACTCAAGATTTGTAACGTAAGACTACAACTTTTTTTTATTAAGATTTCAAAGAAGTTTGCATGCTATTTAGGTAACGAGAGTAATCTAATTTATTTAAGGTTTTACATTATGAATGAGTAAAAAAAAATTATAAATAATCATTACTAGAGTTAGACATTTTATAGATGTTGTGATACATTTTTCTTTTGTTTTATTATTTTTATTAAGGACTTGGAAAACTAAGGCGGAAATTTAGATTTGTTAATACTTCTTAAAGATATATAAAACTTTGTAGTAAAATGAAGAAGAAAATTAATTCATTGGTTAGAACAAATATATCGTTAGTAAATTAAAAAAATTATAAAAAACCCAGCACAGTGGGGACGTGACATAGTTGGGTCCAGTAGATATGATATCTGACAGTGATTAAAATCACTATCATAAAAAATGGTTCAATGCAATTCTGTAGATAGTGTTTAATTAAAAAAAATTAGTGAATTATTCCAAAAGCTACATGATCTACTATTTTGTTATTAATATCCTGGTTAAGATAAATTATGTCGAATGTAAAAGGGATGTAAATATTATTTCTCATAAAAAAATTGTGTGTAATCTTTTTTTCCATAATAATGTATATTACATAAGATTTAATTTAAGGTATATATAAAAGTGTCAGACTTTCCGAAACACTTTCAAAAGTTAAGTTGAAAAAGTTTAATTTTTGTGAAAAAGTTGTCATTTTAAACGCCCCCATATGAGCAGGTAAAGGGTTAAATTTATAAAAAAATTATAATAAACGATAGGTAAAGACATCAAGAATCTATAAAAAAAAACTATATTGATTTATTCTATTTTTAAATAGTTATGGCAGTTTTAAGAAAAAAATTGAAAAAATTAGCGATTTTTAAATTTGTAATTTTTTTAGAGGTTTCCACCATTTACGGAGAACGAGTAAAATATTTTCAATTTTTGAGGGTAATTTTTTCGACTAGATACGATTTATGACGATTTATCTTTTGACGTATTGTTAAAAGAAATCGGTTCGGTGAAAGATGAGAAAAAGTGATATACACAAACAATAAAAATATATCATAGTAAAATTAATACCTTCTCAGCTTCGCATCGAAGCTAAAATGTAAAATATAATATCAAGAATTTTTTCATAAAAATAGCATATTTTTGCATATGGTATAATGCAACATCCATTTTCACCATGAAGACAAGTCCAGAGGTAAAATTTCTTTTCAAATTAAAGTATATTACATTAGCTTTAATTTAAGGTATATATAAAAGTGTCAGACCTTCCGGAACATTTTCAAAAGCTAAATTGAAAAATTAAATTTTTTGTAAAATTTTACCATTTTGGGTTTGTAAAGGGTCAAATGTTCACAAAAATATATAATATGATAGGTAAATACCTAAGGTATCAAAAAAAAAAAAAAAANTATTGTTAAAAGAAATCGGTCGAGTGAGAGCTGAGAAAAAGTAGTGACAGACACAAAAAAAAAAAAAATTAAATAAACACATCATGGTAAAATTAATACCTTCTCAGCTTCGCATCGAAGCTAAAAAATTGAAAATTAGCCATTTTGAATATTGTAATTTTTGGGGGATTTCCCCGGTTTATGGTGAACGAGGGATTTTTTTTCAAATTTTGAGGGTAATGTCTTCGACTAGATACGATTTGTATATGTCTTTTGACATATTTTTCATCAAAATCGGTCCAGCGAGAGTTGAGATTGAACTTATACAGACACACAAAAAAAAGAACACATCATAGTAAAATTAAAACCTTCTCACCTTCGCATGGAAGCTAAAACAAACTATACACTTTCCAGAGTATTATACTTGAAGCATGCTCATCAATAATTATGTAATTTTTTTCATTGAGTATTAAAATCGCCAGAAATCTAGTAAATAATTATACAAACGAGTACTAAAGAATAAAGTTTTATTATTTTTTTTGTTTAGTTTATAAAGTATTAAACATGTTTCAGTTATAAACACCACTTGTGTTAATAATCTTTTGCAATGATATGTTAAAGCCAATACCATAATAAAGCATTTTGAACATGCGCGCCAACACTTATACCACTCCATTGCAATTTTTCTATATCTATTCTTTTTTTGAATAACCACGCTGAAATAAAATAAAGTTGATTTTAATGAAAATAATATGAAAATAATTAAAATTTTATATTTACCTTCATAATTCACATATTTTACTTTACAATCGTACAGACGGACTATTATATCAAATGCGATATCACGATTTTTGATATATTCATCTATTACAGAACTAAAATCTCCTATAGAGATAATGTCTTTTTTCCCATTGGCTTTACTATAAAATCCTTTGTGTAATTTGCTTACTATTTCCACCATAATATTTGGAATACTGGGATAATCATCATTCCAAATTTGTACGAAATTTATAGGACTAATAATTTCCCATTCTAAAAAAAATTTTATTTTAAACGTATCAAAATAAAACAACAAAATAAGTATTTTATGCATGCATTAAAATACCCTAATTTTATAGATCTACGATAAACAGAATATTTTAAATATATATTATGTATATTAAAAATAATTCCGAAAATATATTTGTTTAGAAATAAATATCGATTGACATTAAACTCTCAAACTCAACGCCAATTTAATAAATATAATGTCATAAAAGTTTTCTGTAATTTTTTTTTTTAGTTACATATAGATTGAATAATTTATCGTTGACCACTAAATTTCTTCTGAAACAATAATTTTGATCATTCAGGTGTATTTTTGGTATAATTTATTACTTGATTATAGATGAATAAGCGTTTAAATAATACAAACCCAACACAGTGGGGTCGCGTCACAGTGGGAATTTGGTATAGTTAGGTCCAGTATAAATTTAATCTAACAGTGATTAAAATCACTATCTTAAGAAACGCTTCGATGCAAATCTGTAGATTGTGTTTAATTCTAAGAAATTGGTGGATAATTACAAAAGCAATATCAACTTATATTTCATTAATTATATCCAGATTAGTAATTCTTTTACTTATATATTATATAATTTTTATAATTAATTGTTTTCAAATTATTATTGATTTCTAATATGCTAAAAGTAATAATTTTTAACCTACTTTTTTTTGTTCTTTAAAGTGAAAGCTTATAAAAAAAAAAAAATGAATTTATTACCATAACTTTTAGTTCAATTTGCAAGTTTAAAAGTGACATCATTAAATAGAAAAAATGGTATTATTAAGATTAATATGCAATCAGGAAATTTTATAATTACTATTTACAGTAAATTTTTTATTTCATCCATTGTTATATTCAGGTGAAACTAAAAATTATTATTTTTTTTTAATTTACGATTTATATAGCAACATGATACGAAAAAATTTGGAATGTTATAGACTGGTAGTAGCACACACAAATAGAGTAAAAAAAATTAATAAATTACAAAGTAAAATTATTTACTTTTGTAGTTGAATACTTTTATCATATCAAAACTAATTCGACAATAAATACTTTAAGAATATTAAAAATTAATGATTTTAATTGTTTGTATGGACAAATCTGGTTAAGCTACTTTTTATTTGATTAAGGGATTTTTTTTCAATTTTTGAGGGTAATATCTTCAATTAAAAAAAAATTGTAATAATTTGACGTACTGTTGAAAAAAGTAGGTCAAGTGAGGGTTTGTAAAATAAATTGCAGCCTCAAAAAAAAAACACATAGTAAAATAATATTAACATGAATAAAAAATTTCTTCTCACGAGGGGAGATTATAGTGATAAGATCCTTTATATTTATTGAAATTATTGAATCTAAATGAGATAAATATCAAATGATTTGAAAATTCTATTCTAACTCAAAAAAAAAAATGCAAAATTTTAAAAGCCACAGACGGTTTTGAACCTCGTACCCTAGGCGTGAAAGATCAAAGTGATACCCATTCGACAACTGTTCATTGCTTTTTGAAACGTGATAAAATTGGCTATTTAAGCTAACTTAAATTTAAAAATTACTTTTTCGACTTTAAAAAAGTAAAAAAATTTTAATCAGTTTAATTTCATATATCTTATGAAATTTATTCTATGTCAATGAAATTATATAATATTCTTGAAAGTCAGATTATTCCCCTAATAAGATATTTTAAAATAAAATAAAATACAAAACCCAGAATTTTAATAAAAAAATAGCATATTTTTGAATACGGTAGCCTTTTGCGCATAGAAGATAGGTCTCGGAACAAATTTTCTTTTTAATTTTATAGTATATAACATAACCTTTGATTTGATATATGTTTAAAGGATGCAGTATTTCCGGAACATTTTCAAAAGTTAGTTTTTGTAAAAAAGTTATTATTTTAAATCTCCCCCTGTGAGCAGGTTAAGTGTTAGATTTTTAAAAAAATGATATCAAATGAAAGGAAATTACCTAAGGTTTTAACATAAAAAAAATTATATTTATTTATTTTTGAAAAAGTTATGGATGTTTTATGAAAAAAAAGTGAAAAAAATGACAAAATTTACCGGTTTTATTAATTGTAATTTTTATGGAGATTTCCCCCATTTGCGTGGAACGAAAGAAAACTTTTCAATTTTTAACGGTAATGTCTTCACCTAGAGACGATTTGTAATCTTTTGACGTATTGTTGAAAGAAATCCGTCTAGTGAGAGCTGAGAAAAAGTAGTGACAGACACAAAAAAAAAATAAATAAAATAAATAAACACATCATTGTAAAATTAATACCTTCTCAGCTTCGCGTTGAAGCTAAAATTATTTAATCAGTTATTGGTTAAAGTGTACTTAAGTGTACGTCGTAAGGTTTCCAATCATAATTTTTTTAATTGGTAACATATACATGTTTAATAAATGAATTATTAAATAATGTTGTCGCCTGGGTTGTTTTAAAAAACCCAAACAAAATAAAAAAGAGGAATAGAACTCTGCCGTACGGCTTAAAATAGGGGCAACTAATAATCAACAAAAAGTTTCTAGTCAATTTAAAATTTCCAAAAGAAAAATATTTTTTGTTAATATAAAATAAGCTTATTCAGCTTGATGAATACAATTAAATAATTAAATACGAACAATTGAATTATTTATTCTTGAATTAAATAATTAATAAATATAATAATCCATACTAGTTACATTTAGTTATGCTCCATATAAATAAAATAAATTATAATTTATAACAATAATACAATATCTGCAGTTTTATTGTTATAATGTACCAGCGAATGTAAAAAAAATGAAAACTAAATTTATATGCCTTTAGAATAATAATATGGATAGTATATTTTGACATGAAACTCGAACAATGTTTTTATTCAATAACACAAAAACAAAACTTCATTAACAAACCAACTTAACCTAAACTGTATAATTATTGCAACAGGTACATACATTATTGAATAAAAAAAAACGACCGAACAACACAGCCACTGACGAGACGTACTAACACAATTAATGGCACACAATTACTATCACCTGACCTTACCCATACAGCCAAACAGCTTGACGTGAACAAATAATGATACAGTTATATCTGATTTAAAATCGATAATAACATTTAGACCAGTATTTAAGATATTTAAGAGTATATTTTATTTTGAGAACGTTTTAGTAATTAATTTACGTAAATCAAATTAAATATTTTTATACCGAAATAAAATATATAATGTAATGAAACTATTTTCAACCTATAATCATCTCGATTTAGATCAAAATTACTGTCACAACTATCAAACCTCAAAAAAAAAAAATTATATTTTAAAAAGTGTACTTTTGTATATTCCTGGATCAAAAAAAGTTATCATTTTTTTTTAATTGGACTGTTTTGATCTAGGGGTACAATATGTATAAATTAATTTAAATTTTCTTTATTACCACTGAATTTTTTCAATTTTGATATTATTGTGCTTGTGTCCACGTCTTCCATCCTTTCTAAGGATGTTATGACATTGTGAATGTACATTATATCGATTATACCACTGAAAATTCGAAGAACCATTGGTAATAATTTTTCAGGTATCTGAATAGTCTACATAAAAAAGAAGTAAAAAACTTTTTCGTTAATTTTTCAATTATTTTTTCATACAATTTAAGTAATTGTTATAATATTAGGATTAACTTCACATCAATTTAAATTAATGTCCATATTATAGATAGGATATTACTTTGTTTTTAAAAATAAAGTAACATTATGATTAAATTGTCGTTTTATTTTTAATTGAATAATCTTTATTATAATTATTATATAAATAAATGATTCATTTAGATTTTTCTGAATGGGTTGTATATAGTGATAAAATTGTACCATCCATTTAATCTGCCATTCACTCTATGCCAGTAAACGGCATTAGACAGCTACTTTACATAAAATATTAGTAATATTTAACTATGAAGGGCACAAAATTTTTTTATAATTTATTTAAAGTAAGGCAGGGTCAGGTAACGAATGAGGAAATATGACGAATTGAGTATTTCTCAAAATCAACTATACATAATAACACATCCCTACTATCATAAAAACTTCTTGTGGTAGAATTTGTCACTAAGTAATGCGAACATAATGTGCGTGCGTTAATTTTAATTGTTATTAGAATTTAATATTTGGCGTATTTTTATATAGTTTTTGTGAACATCATAATTTTAGGTATTAGTATTCTAAAGTAATTTTTTCAGCTTTCTCTCAAATATTCTAAAAGTATTACTTAATATCTAATAAAAAGACCTATTCTTTTATATCTTTTTTGTTATCTTACCTCGTAATTGAGAAAAAATGAAGAAAATAGCAAATTTTAAAAAAACCCATATTGTATCTCTTAAAATATAAAAGAGACAATCGAAAAAATATATGGTATTAGGCAAGATATAGAAGAAGTTGTGGTTCTTATTGAAGTTTTTAATTTCACTCACAGATTTAGTAAAAATCATCAAATATAATCTCGTCTTTTACCCTGCCTCACCCATTTTATTAATAAATTGTATTTTATCAAATGATCAAATTGTTTATAAAATTTAAATTAATAATAGTCACCTCAAATGCATTTAATTCTCCAATAGGATTTTCGTTATTTGTTGTAAAATATAATTCTCTATTCTAATAAAAATATAATTATTTGTACTATTCATATATACAGGGTGATTTTTTTATCATAACCCACTCAATTACTTGCAGAATAATAATAATTTAAACATTTTTTTTTTTCATTATCTTTAGTTACATATTATTTTTGAATTTTTAACTATGTAATACTTTTTTAGTTCATCCCTTATGCCTTGGAAGGGGGTCAACTTTGTTTTTTTAAATGGTAACACATATTTTGAATTTAATAAAATATTTGAGTTTTTAATTTAATAGTAAATGGCATTTGAATTTTTAATATAACTTAATTCGTTTATTAGATATAATCATTTAAAGTTTCAAATTTTTGAGTTAATATATAGGTATAATACACAAGGAATTACAAATACAGGTAGCTAATTGATTTTTTATGACATCGATATTAGCAGGTACACAGCATTGTTATTATCAATGATAGTAAAGCACATTGTTATGAGTTTATAAATACACTAACTGACAATACAGAAAGTATATCTATTGATAATCATAATTGATAATAAACAATCCGTGACTGAGACAGCAATGTCATAAAAATCCAATTAGCTACCTGTATTTACAATCCCATGTGTATTATACATGTATATTAACTCAAAATTTTGAAACTTTAAATGTTTATATCTAATAAGCTAATAAAGTTATATTAAAAATTCAAATGCCATTTACTATTAAATTAAAAACTCAAACATTTTATTAAATTAAAAATATGTGTTACCATTTAAAAAAACAAAGTTGACCCCCCTCCAAGGCATAAGGGATGAACTTAAAAAGTATTACATAGTTAGAAATTCAAAAATACTGTGTAACTAAAGATAAAAAAAAAAATGTTTAAATTATTATTATTATGCAAGTAATTGAGTGGGTTATGATAAAAAAATCACTCTGTATATATATATATATATATATATGTTTTTTTTTATAGCATTCAAATGTTGTACAACTTTTAATAAACTTTTTTGAATATTTATAATTAAATCATTGATTTAAATTAAATATTTTTTTGAAAAAGCGTTTTGTTTTTTAATAATTCTTTATCACATTCGTAATTTTTAAACTAGTACTGTTTTATACACATTTGAATAATTTAAATTTTGTTCAGTAATGTTTTTATTTATGAAATAATAATAAAAATATGTTCGTATTAATATGTTACCCTTGCAAGTATTGTCTTGGAGTCATCATTTTCCAACCTATCTTTTAGTTTTTTTATCGATTCCTACAATTTATTTATTTATATCATTATTATACATTATAATGGGAAAAACCCAATTAACAAGTTTAAACATAGTACATAATACATTATAGTAATAGTATTTACAAAATAGATTCAATCTAACCAATATCTATACAGTAAGAAGAAAATATTTTTTATGGATTGAGCTATAATGGCGATGCCAGAATTAGCAATACAAAATCTTAGTTTAAAGGAAGAAGGAAATATACCTGACTGGAAGAGATTTATTAAATAAAAAGAAAAGAGGTCAAGCAATACAAGTATAGGAATTTTTTCAATTTGAAGACAATTAGCCTTTTTAAATTTTAAAAATTATGAATAAAATAAAGAGAAAGATGGAAGGACTATTAAATGAGAAATATAAAGCTGGGTGAGTGATATGGTTCAGACGGGACCGTTTATTTAGAAGCAAAAATAACAGAAATAGTGATACAGTTGGTAATAATTAAATAAAGAATAGAACTATTATAATCAAATGATTATTAAATTAGAAGAACACATTACATTTAAAACTAATGTTTCGGGAACATACAAAGATTGGAAAAAGCATGAAAAAGATTAGTGACACGGCCCCGCGACTCGTGCCACTTTTATAAGCCGTCGCCCTACTATGAGTATTTGACTGACCAACACCGCGTGCCATACGCCACGGTGCAAAGTTTAGTAAATGCCGCACGGCCGACGACGACCCACCGCAAATGATACGCGAGTCTTCTTGCCATTGTCAACGTCACAACGTCGAGGATGTACGCCACCGGCTCCGGACGTGTGCCGCACGACCGGACTCGACGAACCGATCCGCACCCGCACACCTTCGCCATCAACGCTGCTAATTTTTTGACACCGAGTATCATGCCGGACACCTAGTCGTCGACGACAGCGAAAATGCCGCATTATTAAGCGAAGATTATTATTACTGTGTTCGTCTATTCGGTTTATTTGTCTTTCTTTAAAATTAACCTGTTGTTGCTCATTAATAAACGGTCCAAGGGCCTCTACCCTCTAAACCAGCGTCGATTATATTATTGCGACGCAAGTCGCGTCAATAGGAAGGCCATAGTTGTTATTTGGCCATGAAAACTAGAGTAGATTATAATCACGACAAAAAATAAAATTGAGAAGGGTATTTAAACACAATGCAATAAACACAATATTCTTATTACGTTGTATTTTTTATTTTAAAATTACAATTTTATATTTGAATAATTACTTACCAAAAATGGTATGTTTGATGAATTAACAAGACAAAAAAACAATGCAAAATAAATATGCCATTGCATTCTGGATTTTTTTTTTTAATTCTTTAAAAAAATACTAAATAGATTTTAAAACCCAGAACAATATAGAAATTTAAAAAGAATACTTTGATTTTTATTGTTACTTTAATATTGAAAAAGTTAATTCAAATTTTGATATTTAAGGTCAAAAATGTTTACTTTTTCTTTTGTTTTAAATATAACTTGAACAAATAACGTTATAATTTATTGATATCGATAAATTATTTTATTAAACTCATAAATCATAATATATATATAGATTTGATAAGTATTATTGTACATTCGTTTTAGAATAACAATTTATTTTTCTTTTTGCTCTTACAAAAATACAACACCAATGAAAGAATAATGGAGTTAGGACTTGCAAAGTAGTATAACAAAATATAAATTGATAATTATAAATAATATCATTTTAAAATCTCAAGCTTTGATAATAACATTTTTTTTACTCACTTTAATCCCAACTACTTGAGGGTCGGCCAATTAATAACATTACATAATTAAAATTTTATTTTAACTATAGGTTTGAGCTACGAAAATGTTAATAGTTTATAAACGAAGATGAATATAACTGTAGCACTTCTCGAGGGAATAAATTTATGTAACTGTTTAATGTATTATTAAGTGTGAAATTTTTTAAACTTTAGGAAAAATCTGTAACTTATTTTTAATAGGTGAAATGAAAGTTCATGAAAAAACACTATTTTGTCAGAACAATCTTCTAAGTAATTAGATTATATATTTCAAATTCTAACAATGTCTTTTTTTCTATCTGTTTTATCAAAAAGAGAACATTATTAGAATGTTTATGTCACAGTAATTTCCCTCTAAGTAAATTATTTTTCCAACTGATCGGTTATAAACCACGAAATAAGACCATATAAAAACCACCATAAAATACACGACATAAGACTGTGAATATTTAGTATCCAAGTAATAACAAAAAAAATTGCAATTTACCGACAAATAATCGAATAGTATTAACGTGCAAAATATTGCATAGTGTAAATATCGTATAATTGTGTTTCTTATGATAATGATTTTAATGACTGTCAGGTATCATCTATACTTGTTCCAACTTGTCACATATCTACTTTTCTATCGTTATTTAATCAAAAAATACCTCTCAACTCAACAGTAATCATTTTATTTTATTTTTTTAAAAATGCATTTTGCCTAGTTAAATTGTCATACCAACCATTTCATTATTTTATTTGTGATGCAAAGCTGAAAAGGTATTAATTTTACTATATGTTTTTCTTTGTGCCTGTTACCACTTTTTTTCAGCTTTCACCAAACCGATTTCTTTCAACGATACGTCAAAATATCACAAATTGTATCTAGTCGATTATGATAGAAAAAGGCGTTGGTGTAAGAGAATTAATTGATACCCTAAATCGATAATTGAATCACTCAAAGAAAGTATTTACTATAAAATCCTGAAATTTGTTAAAAATATTACTTATACTGAGATCAATAATTGATCTCAATTTTTACCAATTAACGGTAAAAAGCTTGTTAACTAATATTAATTATTATAAGAGTTATTAATTAATTAGATGAAAAAATAAAATACGTCATTTTTCTACAAGTGTGGGGCAAAAAGATTTTTTTAACGGAGCCAGTTGACATACCTTAGTTTAATGTAGGTAATTTGTAAAAAATTTATTGTATTATATAGTTAAAAAAAAAAATTTTAAAAAATTAAAAAATGAATATTCTTGAAAACCCATTATGAATGCTTTTAGTTGATTATTAGGTGTATTTTTTTCATAATAATATCTTTTATATCCAAGAAGATAATATTTCTCCAATCGTCAGCTACCCTGTACTGTCTAATACTTCGATATATCGTCTATAGCATGATAATTTTTTTTTCCAATTATGCGGATAAATAATACTAATTCAGAAATATCTTTGAGTTTTGATGCGAAGCGGACAATGTATTAATTTTACTATGATGTGTTTTTTTTGTATGTCTTTTGTACATTTAAACGGCTGCCGTAGTTAAAAAAACACTATTTTTGTGTTAAAATTTTCGATTTTCGATTTTTAAATTTCAACTTAAAAATGCTATAACTTTTTGAAAAATGTATATATCAGCACAATTTTTTTTTCTAAATACATTATAAGTACATCTTTCATTTGACATACTTTTTATTAAAATTGGACAATTTCCCCTTATATAGGGGGCGTTCAAAACTTGAAATATTGTAAAAAACATAGATCTTTTTCAACTGAACTTTTGAAAATGTTCCGGAAATACTGCGTCCTTTAAACATATATCAAATCAAAGGTTATGTTATATACTATCAAATGAAAAAAAAAAATTTGTCCCGACATCTTATCTTCTATGTGCAAATGGCTGTCGAAAATTTAAAAAAAAATGTAATGTTTGCGATAAATATTACCTTTTAACGGGATGTTTTTTGTACTTAAAACTGCCATAACTTTTTCAAAAATGAACAAATAAAAATAATATTTTTTTGTATTGAAACCTTAGATATTTCCCTTTCATTTGATATAATTTTTTTTGAAAATCTAACACTTATTCTGCTCACTGGGAGGATTTAAAATAGTAACTTTTTTACAAAAAATAACTTTTTCAACTTAATTTTTGAAAATGTTCCGGAAATACTGCGTCCTTTAAATATATATTAAATCAAAGGATATGTTATGTACTATAAAATGAAAAAAAAAAATTTGTCCCGACGACTTATCTTCTATGCGCAAATATTCAAAAATATGCTATTTTAACAATTTTTTTTTTAATTAAATACTATCTACAGATTTGCATCGAAGCGTTTTTTATGATAGTGATTTTAATCACTGTCAGATATCATCTATACTGGACCCAACTATGCCACGACCCNATTTATGAACAATAACTTTAAGTATTGTAATTGTACTAGTTTCTTATAATAAACTTTTTTTTTTTTTTTATTTATTCGATAATTTATTTACAATCTATACAACAAGTACATGAAGCAAATTTGATCAATTTGAATAAAGTATATTACATTAGATTTAATTTAAGATATATATAAAAGTGTTAGTATTTCCGGAACACTTTCAAAAGTTAAGCTGAAAATATTATTTTTTTGTGAAAAAGATGTCAAAAGTTCCTGTGGGCAGGTAAAAGGTCAGATTTATAAAAAAAAAAACATACAAAATGATAGGTAATTACCTCATGTATTTATAAAAGTTATGTTAGTTTTAAGTAAAATGAAATAGAAAAAATTTCGAAAATTAATGATTTTTAAATTTGTAATCTTTTTGGAGATTTCACTCTTTTACGGGGAACGACAGAAATTTTTTTAATTTTGAGGATAATGTCTTCGACTAGATACGATTTGTGATCTTTTGACGTATTGTTAAAAGAAATCGGTTCGGTGAAAGCTGAGAAAAAGTGATATACACAAACAATAAAAATATATCATAGTAAAATTAATACCTTCTCAGTAGATAAGAAATATATGTTTTGGCTCAATTTCACAGTGAAATGTGAAATGTGAAATGTGAAATGTGAAATGTCATTAGAGCGGCGGCATTTTAACCCAACGAAACCCAACAAAAGGTTTATTTTAGAAAAATTACTTAATGATTTTATTTACTTCCACGCACTCACAAATAAGTAGTTAAAGTAAAAATTTAAAATAAAAAAAAGCCATTAGAGCAATGGTAATTAAGACGGTGACGACTGAAACGTCAACGTTAGTGGTGATGACGGCGGCGTTTAACCCAACGCTACCTAAACATGACTACATGTGTAAAGTGTGTACAACATAAAAAAAATTGACTTTCCTTAATTCATGCCCCTTAATAAGTAGTTTAATAGAATGGATTAGACTAACAGCGATATTACGTTTAATATCGTTTATTTTAAACTTAAAGTTTAATAATATATTTATAAAGATATTTACAGTGCAATATTATTTGCAACTACATTTTTGATATTGAGTCAAATTCTATTCGATAGTTCAGTAACATAAACAAATAATTATTTTCGCTAACGAGTATAAGTTATTGATGTTTTCTAATTGAAAGTATTTACTTTAATTAGCTAAAATATACACGTGCACTATTATTTGAGCTAATGAGTAATCGTTAATGAATCTTTCTAATTAAACCATGCATTCGCTGAATGTTGTATATGGTATTTAACATATATCATTTAAATACATGTTTAAGTCAGTTAAAGGTTAGTCTAACTGTTTAGGGTAGGGTAGCAAATTATTAGAAAGTAAAAATATTTTAACACTGAAAAAAGAAAGCATTGTAGTATACGAGAGTGAATGTTATGTAATTAACGGTTTATTAATCGATTAATTTACAATTATCTACTATTTTTCGTATAAATGAACATGGAAACTCTGTTAAAATTACACTGTCTTCAAGAACCTTTAGCGTGCAACAACTCTTCTAGAAATGAACAATATGGCTGCTGAATGTATGAGAAAACAACGTTATGTTTATGTTGCACCGACACCGCCAGCTGAAATGATCGATTCAAGCAGTTATACAATTTCGTTCGGCGATAGAAAATTTTTACAACTAGGACTGAATCCAATGGAGGACTTCAATATTACGGTATATATTATTACTCCTTCACGATATATTAGCATGTCAACAGAATTTTTAAATACTATTTACGGCATGATGAATGAAATAAATATATTTTTACAATCATCTCCGGTTAGAAACGAAAACAATATTTTATACCGAAATGAATGTTTCAAATTATCTAAAACATTATATCGTGATTCAGTACATTTAGTATTAGAATCCACGACGACCGAAGGATGCCGTGTTTTATTAAATAAAGAAAACATTCAGATACTTAAACAAATGGAGTGTACTATTAATAATGGTATAACAAGAAAATTAAAAACACGTTTGCAAGTAATACATCAAGTAGATCGTATTGTACAATACGCCGATGGTAAATGGCTAGGACTTAGAACTCTACAATCACCAAATGATGGAATGGTTAATTTTATAAGAAGTTTGAACGATATAGAAATAGGTGACAGTAATTACATAAGCGAGCTGAAAAATTTAGCATACAATGTAATAGTTGATCGATGGGTCAAGTCATGGTCCGAGGGCACGCTTCAAATTAATGTGAGTTTAATGAACATAGATTATAATAACCTTTATTGTTATTAAATTTATAATTTGTTTTAGGAAAAAGAAGAAATGTATGACGAAAATGACGGTCCGGAATTTTTCAATACAACAGTGTTTACCCAAGAAAATAGTTATAGTCCATGGGCTTTACAATGGCCGAAACCCAATCACGTTAGAAAATTAACTTATATTAATAATTTATAAACAATAACTTTATATATTGTACTAGTTTCAAATAATAAACTTATAATCTAAAATGAAAAACAAATTGTTGTTATTTGTATATAATATATTTATTTCATAATAATAATAATAATTACAAGGTTAATAATAAATGTTTACATAAACGTGTAAAAAATGTTAAAATATACGGACAGTTCCGTCAAAAGGTGTATATGTAAATACATTGTCTGAAATTACTAGAGCATATGCAGTTGTATTACCAGGGAACGCGGCTGATGCTTCAATTTCAATACGTAGGTCAAAAGACGAGACTGTAATTGTATCGTTCTGCTTTGACATGTCGATTACGGCAATAGGTATTAAATTAAGAAATTGTTTTTTATTTACTAAAGGCGAACACCAAGGTCTATCATAATAACTCTTTTGAAAATTAACATAGTAGGAAAATAAAATACTAAATAGCTTACAGTCAAAATTACATCTTAAATCGATGTACGGGTAAACTTCTGAATTTAAATGAACTTTAAGATTTGTTAAATTACAGTGATCGAATTCAGACATTGATTTACTTTCACTATTTTTACGGTCTGTTTGAAACCCTACTATAACATAACGAGGTTTTTGAAAATTATTACATGTTTTAACGGTCCACGAAAACGATTTGTTTTGTGGTACAAACGGATATTCACACAGTTCCCAATTTCTATGGGCGCAATGTATAGGCTTTTTACTATCTAAAACTCTAAGTAATTTTAATTGTTCCTTTTCGGTCACTTTGACGATTGGCATATTCCATACAACTTTTGTTAGTTTAATTGATACTGTAGACAGTTTTTCTTTTACTGTGGTACTCGTATCTAATAGCTTGACAACCTCATTATCATCAGAAGTTCCCGTGCTGCATTTAAGTTTTTCAGAGGACTCGTTCACATTGAATAATTTGATTACGTTTATGTCTGATGAACTCCTCGTACATATTAATGATTGGGTACAGTTTAAGAGTATTTTTTTATAATCTTCGGCAAACCCTAGTATATGCGATAGCGGTATAATCCCAGAAAAATATGTACAGTCGAAAAAGTCTTTATTGTCTTCAGTAGTAATGTCCCATGCCGCAGTGTGTAGTTCGTTAATATCAGCGGGGCTGTATGAGCAATAGCCTTTCAAAGTAGATGTAATGCCCGGGTTGCGTACTTTTTGTATTTGAGTACCGTTTATTTCATAACGTATTTCAGAAAATAAATATGCGAGTCCGTTGTTAATAAATCTAGGACTGGACTTCATACCATCAGGTTTTTTCACTTCACCTTCCAAGTACAAATAACTGGCACTTGGTAAAGTGTAACTGTCCATGTTGCGAATTTCAAATCGTATTTCATCATTTTTACCTAGCGCAGTGGAGCTATACGGCAAAAATGATTGTACCTGTTGACTAATTATTTTACACTGATCGACATAACTTTCCGTCACATCTAAACATAAATCGTCCATAATTTCAAAGAACGTTTAACGATTTTAAAAACGATAAATTACGTTTGCTAATAGACTTATTCGTTTTTTCTTTTAGCGACGATTTTCTCGCGGATTTCTTTTTAGGTAAATATGATGTTGACTCTGTTCTGGATGACTGTGAACTACGTATTGGCCGACGAACACTTGAATATATATTATTATTAAACTTAAGAGCCATGGTTCTATGTACGAATGTGAAGGCGGAGAGTTAAAGTTTCCCCTCTCAAATCAACTATTTTACCAGATTGAGACCGTAATGTAACTTCAGCGTTGTATACGGTGGTTGTGTTTAGCGGATAATAAACTAACGATTTAGGTACTTCTATAATTTTGTATCCTGCTGGGACAGAAGGAAAAAATGCATGGATCGCTTTGCTTGATTGTCCATTATCATATGAACCGGTCGCTATATTACACTCGACATATATAGTATTAACTTGTAAAATATCAACAATGTTTGTTGAAACATGACGTATATTCGGTCCATAAACTTTTTCATTAAAACCTAATAACCGCGCAATATTATCGGTTACCGTAAAATCAATGGCGTTACTACACGTCAAAGCACTTTTTAATGTAACTTCGTCAGGTTCTAAAGAAAATGATTGAACGTATGGTTCCAACAGTTTTTTTAATACGGCTTCTAACTGCGCCAATTCGTATGATCCCGTCGGTATTGTAATTTGTGTTGTTACACCCTCAGAGTCTTGAACTCCGATTTTATTACAGTCAGTTGTAATATTAGGTATTGAGTTATTAGTATACAAACTCAAAAGACAAATTTCGGCACCCTCTTCAAATTCCAAAGGTGGGTAAAAACTACAACTCAATTGTGACGAATTACCGCTCAACATTATTGTAGCCGATTTCATAATTTTCGACTTAGAAATTTTAGGCATAAATGACCGCAGTTTACCGATCTATCAGCCTGATACCGTAAATAGTTGTAATTTACGGTACACCCGTTAAAATATTTCTGTAACTCTAGCGGTGGAGCCAAATCACCGTAACTATCGAAATAATGTACTGTATTGTTATTTTTTCTATAGCACGTCCAATGAGTACCTGGCTCGTTTTGTTTGCTTAAATTAATAACTGCACTCTCGTTTTTTAAAGGACGTACCGGCAATGTGTCTCTACTAAAGACCCCTCTAAAATGAGGTATTTTCAATAAATTTGCATATTTTATAATTTGATAGTCATATAGAGCAGTCTTTGGCAGATTCGATATTAGTTTTTTGTCTTGGGCGGTGATAAAAATAAACCGGCACCGTTCTTATAAGGTTTAAGGTATAAACCTTTGCCGAGTTTTACTGTAGATTTTTTATCGCTTGCTTCTCTCGCGTCCATGATTGAACGTATAATACTACCCGCCCCGCCGGTTAGAGATCCTAACGCTGATAAAGCGGCAAAAATAGGAATAAGAGGAAGCGCTCCACCGGATTTCGGCACTGGTATTACACGTGGTGTGGAGGAAATGCTACCACGACGAGTTTTTTTGCGTGCAGCGGTCAACGCAATTTTTATTAATTTTGTAATATCTTTGCCCGCTGTCTTTTTATGTTTCTTAATAGCCTTTTTTGCTTCAGAAACTATAATTTTAAAACCACATCCCATTCCGATTTTACGTTTTGCTTTCATGGCGTTGGTAACTAGGTATGCTGAAGCCCGTTCTTTAAATCCAGAGTCCTTTGATTTAACAATGTCCCAAGCCCCGTGTTCTAGTACTTCGTCTGCTTTATGTCT